ATTTTTGTATAAAAAAGGGAAGAACGCCACGCAAGCCGCCAATGAAATTTGTGAAGTTTACGGAGACGATACTATATCAGTTTGTGTAGCACAACAATGGTTCTCTCGCTTTCGTTCTGGAAATTTCGATGTGAAAGATACGAAAAGATTTTTCGACTACCCTATACTTTGGTGGGAAAAAAACGCGGTTGACTTCACCTTTCAGCCTACATAGACTGGACTCACCGACTAGGTAAATAGGAAGACCGTCACCCCTAAGATGGCAGTCTCTCAGCGTTCCATTGTAAATTTCTGCTGTTTTGGAAAGAGCCCGTTTAAAGAAGTTGTCCTTTGAATTCTTGTTTACCTGCAGAAAGATCAGTTTTTGTGGCTAACGATTTTTTTTTAAAAATTGTGACCACACATAATTGCAACTCCCACTTCTGTATGGATACAGCATAATTACAAAATTTTATTGCAAGCAACTAATGGATAAATCAACTAAAAGCCAACTAATATATTCACTAAAGGACGGTCTTTTTCCGTGTTTGGTTAAATGCTCACGTATTCATTCGTGACGTGACATCTCACGATGAAATTCACCAATTCACCATGGCCAGCTGTGGCTGTGGCTGTGTCTCTTGAAGCGGAAGCGCTTGTCTATTCTGAAATACTCAAAAAATTGTTGGACAAGTCTGGAAGTTAATTCTCCATGGAAATTCATTTCATTGCGAAGTATATAAAGTTCTCTTAAAACATCATTTATCATAATTTGTTTCTTCCATACTATACTCTCTAACAAACACTAAATCCTATAAATATTTTCACGTCCTTTATTTCCTTCGTCTTCTATCGCATTAGACACAACGAGTCGCAATAAAATATTCTCTCCAACTTTTTTAAAAGAATGATGAGCCTTTACACTTATCTAGGACCTGTTTTGGTGGAGTACGTCAACATCAACTTATCAGACTGTATCATGAGATGAAAAGTGTAAAAAAGACTTTTCTGGAAGATTTCTACAAATTGGGTAAACAATGGATTCTTCATGTATACCTTCTTGATTCACTTTTTAGTGAGAATCAGAAAAACTCATGCTTCCGGGACAACAATTTCCTTTTTTTGCTAAAATAACACGTTGACAAAGTAAACGCAATATTTCTCGGTCTTCTCATAACTGCTAGTGTCGCTACTACAGTAGGCTTTAACTTTAAAACACCTAGTTCTTTTATCTCTTAATTGAGCACGACTACTGGATGAAGGTTGAGAGGTGATGATTTGCTGACCATTAAAGCTTTTTGTTCAGCTACACTGCTTTGTATTCCTGAAGTAAAAAACTTTTCAACTGCTTAAATGACCAGTTTGCAGCAATCTTTACTGGAAGGTGTTAAATAGCTTCCAAAAGTGGAAAGGTCAAGCTCTAATTCCCTACAATCAAGCTGAAACTCTTAAACGATTTCTTAGCGAAAACTAGCTGCTAGATTAAATTAGATTAAAAATTCTCGACTTTTTAAGAAAACATTTTCGAAGCTAAGGAGCAACGCTAAAAAAACATTTACCTTTGCACCTGTTCATCAGTTTCTTTCAGAGGGCGCGCAGTTTGCTCATCTGCAAGGGTTTCATCTACTTTCTCTAATGGTTCTGGTTTTGGAACCTCTTCGGCTTCGGTTTTCGATGACTTCGTAGTTGTTGGTATCTCATACTCAGCAGAGCAACCACTGTCACTGGTAGCTTTAACCATCACAAGGATAGCGATAGTAAAGTAAAGAAATAGCATGGACATGACTTTAGAGAATAAGGCTGAGTAGCTTATGGGGTAGAACACACAAATGAGTAAGAAGAGGAACTGTAAAACGTAAATATGTGAACTTCATACTGGTTTTCACCAATTTCTTGGACAAAACAAACCGGTATCTTGATGGCGGAGTAGTCAAAATGCAATGTGAACGCTTTTTTTTCTAACACTGTACAATATTGCAGAAGAGTTCAGAGAATATTTCTTAAGTGGAAGCGGATCAAAGCTGATTTCTACCATAAAGTTTTAGATCGACAGTTATTATGAATGTTACAAAAAGAAGAAAGATTTCTGCAGGCGATGGTAAAATGCCACTGCTGTGTGACTGGGTCATAGAGACACCAAAGGAAACGAATTTATGGTAACTTCTGTTCTAAATATTAAAATGTCCTTGAGCAGAAGTTTCAGAACTGAAAAGACTGACTGCAGTATTCAGGGCTTAGAAAAAATTGTTCAATTTCGAACTTTGAAATGCTGTGATGGTAGCCTTCAAGAATGCTTGCTAAACTCTTAAATTTGTTGACTACTACTACATGGACAATTAAGTGAATGAAGTTTTTCCGCAGAGACATCAGCAAAAATGTTTAGTGCTTCAGGAGGGTTGCTAATTATTTGCTATTTTTAAAAATTTAATATTAACGTTTGCTATTTTGTTAAGGCAACTCATCGCGGCTACGCGCAAATGACAGCTTGACACAGTGCTTGGGAACCTTTATGTTATAAACATCAGGCTCATGTGCATTGTGTCATAATGACGATCACTTGAAATCATAC